CATCCATCCATTATCTTTTACCCGCTTCTTCCATTTTGAGTCACGGGGGTCGCCGGTGCCCATGTCCAGCAATCACAGTGCGAGGGACAGGGAAGACCTTGGATGGGTCTCCGGTCCATCACAGGGACACATAGAGACAAACAGCCATCCACTCTCTCACTCACACGTAGGGACAATTTTAGAGTTCCCAAGCAGCCTAACATGCATGTTTTTGGTGTGTGGGAGGAAACCAAAGTACCCAGAGAAAACCCACGCATGCACCGAGAGAACATGTAAACTCCACCAAGAAAGGCCCTCGAACCGAGATTTGAACCAGCAACCTTCTCGCTGTGAGGCAGCAGCTCTACCAGTTGTGCCACCGTGCTGCCCTTCACAAGTAACATGTGGTACAGTATATTACAGTATATATAAAATATCAAAGGTCTAGTATTTCTTGAAGGAATGCATTTTACCCAACACCTTTAATGCCAAAGTGAGTTTATTTTATGATGAGAAGTGATGGAGTTACAGCCGTTTGGGTTAAACTGTGTAAATTACATTAATTAGTCATTTCCTACAATATTCCAGTATCTCAGAGAATCGCTACTACTACACCAAACCTTAGGTCAATGCTGGTAATTTTGACTGTTACAGTCCGTTCTGTGTTGCTGATTAGTGTGGCAGCCATATTGAATGTAGTCGACTCAAATGTTAGTAAGTTCTGGGTGTACTGTATATCTAATGGATATTTTCTGATAGAGTCAATAAATCCTGTCCAATATAATATGAACTATTTTGCTAACAGACAGTGTTGACTCTGGCAAGCCATTTTAAGCAACAATGTTGTAATTTGTAGCGCTCCGAGAATGTGATGAGAATTACTCTTGTCAACTACCATACCACATTTTAGCTCAATATTTGTAAAACTGACAGAGTTTTAGCCATTTGTGTTTGTTAAGGTTGCTTAAGTGTGCAAGGGGATATTAAAGTGTTAACTGAATATATAATGTATTAATGTGTTTGTAACATTCACATAAGTTTTCAGAGTTCTATATTTGCAACAACTGATCCAAACTTGAAGGCAGATTCACTGATGACTTGTGCAGAGCAGAACTATTACGCAGCAGAATATAGAAACTTTTAACATAAGTGACTCAAAATGATGTTTTGATTCTTTATGTGAATAACTGTCCTTAGTGGATAAAACACTTATTGTGATGGAACATGAAGCTGAAACACCAGAGCTTCAACATCGAAGGCTTGTGCCATTAATCTGTCACTACAATCATTTCAGAGGAACAGCAATTTACATATTAGAGCCACATCATCATAAAGCTGTTTTTGTTATCTTGGCTACTCTGAGTAAAGGTCTCAGTATCACACTCATGGACAGGAACCCAAGGGTCAGATGTCCCTGTAGAGATAGACACTCGTGGCATTAATAACCTCTGACCAGTGTTAATAACATTGACTCGTGTGTATGCTTGTACTTTCACGCCGTCACTGTGAGATTTGTTTTACTTTGCTCGCCTTCGCATACAAACAAACTATGAAATGAAATGATATCAGGTTATAATTAAAAGCAGGCACTGGAGACCTTTTTCCATGATGTAATGCATGTTTAGTCCAACTCACCGAGTGCAGACACAGCAAAATTAAATACCTACAAGGCCTCAAAATAATATGACGTGCAGATGGACTGACCACCGCCAGCTAGTCCAGTGTAGCATGTTATGTTGTGGTCTGCCTGGCATGTGTTTTGTATCTGCTTACAGTTTCTACAGAGAGGGTTGTAAAACTTGATGTGCTTTAAAAGATCTGTCCAAGTTCTCTTTGGAAAAAAACAAATAAAAAATGTACAACTGCACAAAGACAAAATGCTATAATTAAATTTAACAAAAAAATCTATACTAGGAAGTGAATGAATTGGGGGCTGCAATATCTGAATTAGTCAGTGCTGTGGTTTATAATCCTGAAGGTTCGAGTACGGCTTGAGTCAGGAAGGATATTTGACAAGTTTCTCGTGTGAGTTCGCTGTCTGTGGCAACAACCACAGAAGGGAGCAGTTGGAAAAAATAAAAAATAAACTAGTATGTGGGTACAGTAATATCAGTTACGTCTATATTAGAAACTTAAGACTAAACAGTTGCCTTAGTAAAGGAAGATGGTTAAATAATTTACTGCATTGTTAGACACCAACTTTAACTGGATCTCTTACAGGAAGGGGTCCAACAAAACTGGTAGGAAAAACCTCAATCCTAACCTTAAAAACTGAATTTGTTTAAATGAACGAGCGGTACACTGATGCCCGCTGATGCATTTGAATAGTGAATGTATGTAGTTTTCAAGATGAGTGTTTTTCTGGGCTGGAATTGAACAAAGAATGCAAGTACGTAAACACAAATGTTTTAAGTGTAAGAGTTGTTGTTTGTCTTGTTTGTCTCTATGTGGCCCTGTGATGAACTTGCAACCTGTCCAGGGTGTTCCTCCTCGCACAGTGACTGCTGGACATGGGCACCAGTTACCAAGCGGGTAAAGATAATAGATGCATGGATGGGTGAATGGATATTAAAATGGAGGAGTTACACTATGGAGAGGAACAAAGAGAGGTTTTGTTTTCTGCACAAATACAGTATGGCCTACAACATCATCTGATTTTCACACGTCCTAAAGTAGATAAAGAGAACCCAGTTAAACAAATGAAACAAAATTTTTTTTATTATACCTGGTCATTTATTTATTGAGGAAAATGATCCAATATTACATATATGTGAGTGTCAAAAGTATGTACCTGGTGTGACCCCCCCCCCCCCCCCCCGTGCATCAATAACTTTAACTAAATGTTTCCATTAACTGATGATCAGTCCTGCACATCGGTTTGGAGGAATTTTAGTCCATTCTGTTGTACAGAACAGCTTCACCTCTGGATGTTGGTGGTTTCTTCACATTAACTGCTGCTTCAGGTCCTTCCGCAACATCTGGATTGGATTAAGGTCAGGACTTTGACTTGGCCATTCCAAAACATGAACTTTACTCTTCTTGAACCATTCTATGGCAGAATCACGTGGGCTTAGAGTCATTATGAGGCTGCATGACCCACCTTCTCTTGAGATTCAGTTCATGGACAGATGTTCTGACATTTTCCTTTAGAATTATCTGATATAATTCAGAATTCATTGTTCCATCAATGGTGGCAAGCCGTCCTGGCTCACATGCAGCAAAACAGGCCCAAACCATGATACGACCACCACCATGTTTCACAGATGGGATAAGGTTCTTATGCAGGAATGCAGTGTTGTCCTTCCTCCAAACAAAACACTTTTCATTTAAACCAACATGTTTTATTTTGGTCTCATCCGTCCACAAAACATTCTTCCAACAGTCTTCTGGCTTGTCCTCATGATCTTTAACAAACTGCAGACGAGCAGCAATGTTCTTTTTGGAGAGCAATGGCTTCTCCTTCAACCCTGCCATGCACACCATTGTTGTTCAGTGTTTTCCTGATGGTGGACTCATGAACATTAACATTAGTCAATGTGAGAGAGAACTTCCATTGTTTAGAAGTTACCATGCAGCCCTTTGTGACCTCACAGACTATTCCATGCCTTGCCCTTGGTCCACCATTCCTGGGGAGGATAAAAATGGTCTTGAATTTCCTTCATTTGTACACAATCTGACTGTGGATTGGTGGAGTCCAAAATCTTTAGAGATGGTTTTGTAACCTTTTCCAGCCTGATGAGCATCAACAACTCTTTATTTGAGGTCCTCAGAAATCTCCTT